CTCTCCAAAAAAAAAAAAATAAGAAGAAGAAAGATCTAAATTAATTACCCACTTTACACACCAGAGAACTAGAAAAATGAAAGCAAACTAAACCTATAGCTAACAAAAGGAAGAAAATAATAAAGATTACAGTGGAGATAAACAAAATAGAGAACAGAAAAACAATAGGAAAAAAAAATGTAACCAAGAGTTGATTCTTTGAAAAATTTAACAAAATTGACTGCCCTTTAGCTAGATTGACAAGAGAAGACAAAATTACTAAAATCAGAAAATGAAAGTGAGGACATTATTAATGGCCACACAGAAATTTAAAAAGATTAAAAGAGCAGACTATGAACAATCAAACAACAATATATCAGGTAACCTAGATGAAATTGAGAAATTATCTAAACTGATTCAAAAAATAAACTGAAAATGTGTCTCTGAAGTGTTCTTTTTCTGAAATAGTTATTATTGAAAATGAGAAAAATATTTCCCTGAATAAATGGATAAGGCAGGAAAAAAAATCTCAACAGATCTATAAATAGTAAAGAAAGTAATCAAAAACTTCCTAAAAAAGTAAAGTCCAAGACTAGATGGTTTCACTGAAGAATTCTAACAAACATACAAAGAAGACACTAATCCTTCTCAAACTTTTCCAGGAAATAGACAAGGGTACATTTCCTAACTAATTCCATGAAGTCAGCATTACCCTGATAACAAAGCCAGTTTAGCCATAAGAAAGAATGAGAACCTCACATCTGATAAAAAGTATACAAATATGGAAGATTTAATGCTGAGTGAAGCAAGCCAGATTATGAGAGAAGCATTGTATGTCCCCACTTAATATACACTTAATGTCCACACTCTAGGACAGAAACTAAAGGATTGGAAGGTTATAAAGGCATGGAGAGCAACTATAGATACTAGAAACAGTGTGGGAAGAAGAGGGTAGGCAGTGAGGAGTAAGAGGGAGGGAATCAGGAGAAGCAAAAAAAAAAAGAAAGAAAGAAAGAAAAGGAAACATCTAACAGTTATAAAAGTATAAGATTGTGTGTTAAGGAAAGTGTGGTAATATGGGAATATTTTTTTCTTTAGAGAGAGATTTTTTGCTATAGGGTTCATGCTCTAGCTATAGAGACAGAGAGACAGAAAGCAAGAAATCACCCCCTCCAGGGGGTGGCCACGCTGCAATTTCTTCTCCTCTATTCTCCTTAGGATTTTGGGCACGCACATGTGCCCAGGATGAGTTTCAAGCTGCCCGGTCCCAGACTCAAACTGCACAAGGCCACATGGGAGTGCAGGGATGGAACCATTACTCCATCTGCTGGTCCCTATGGTAATATCTTTGACTGGACTAATGCACATTTATGCTGGGAATATTCATTTTGTATGCTGCAAAGGTGTACAGTGATCAAATGTAAATAAAACAAGAAATAAAAGGGAAAAATGAAAACATATTAATGGGGAAAAAAGACATTACAAGGAAAGAATATCACAGAGCAGTGTCCTTTATGAATATAAGTGCAAAAATTCTCAGGACCAAATTTAACACAGATCAAATCCAACAGCATATTAAAAAGATTATATACATGACCAAGTAGGATTTATCCAAGATATGCAAGAGTGGTCAACATAAAATCAATCTATGCAACATACTTTTAAAAAAATTTATTCTTTAGTTTGCTATAAGAAGTGTCCACTTGCCAGAGAGAGACAGAGAGAGCAAGAGAGAGGGAAAGTGAGAAATCACCCCCGTGGGGTTGGCCACACTGCAATTCCTTCTTCTCCATTCTCTCCTTGAGATTTTTGGGTACACACTCAACACGTGTCTGACCTGATTTTCAAGCTGCCATGTCCAGGACTTGAACTATACAGAGTAGGTCATGTGGGATCTCACCACCTTACTCTCAATGCCACCTGCTGGCCTGCAACATATCTTTTTAATAGAACAACAACAAACAAAACTCCACATGATCATCTCCATGATGTAAAAAATAAAGGGGGGGGGCATTTTACAAAATCAAATAAACTTTTAGGAAAAGAATACTCATAAAAAACCATCTGGTGGGGGCCAGCAGGTGGTGTGGTGGTTAAGGGCACTAGACTCCCACGTGGCTAACTGTGGTTTGAGTCCCGGACCTGGAGGCTTGCTTTCTCACTTCTCTCTTTCTCTTGCTCTCTCTCTCGGCTCTCTCTCATACTCACTGTGTCCCTCTCTGGTCAAATTAAAATAAATGAAGTTAAATAAGATAATTCTTTAAAAAAAAAAAACATCTGGCAATTCCTCACAAAGTGAAAAGTAGAATTATCATATGGCCAAGCAATTCCATGTTTAGGTATATTCTTAGAAGAACTGAAACCAGGGAGGGGAAAGCGGGCACGGTCCTGTCGAGAGGAAGCATGGCAAGTTTCTCCAGGGTGCCCTAGCAATGGGCCACTTTTGCTCGAGCGTGGTATCTCTTAGATGGGAAAATGCAGCCCCCTAGGAAACTTGCTGTTTTGGCATCCACAAAGCTTCAGGGATTACATAAACCTGTGTACCATCCATTGAGTAAGTATTGCCCTACTCTGCTATTACTCTAGTATGGTCTTTTCACCACACATCTGCTATAAGTATTTTTTTTAATGAAAGTTAAAGTAAAAGCCAAAGTTTTGCCAATCCCCTGTTAGGACTTACATGATTTAGCTGCTATGGTGTCTCTAACTTTAATTTCCTAACTCTGTCCCTTGAACAATCCACCCAGGCCTGTTGTTCCATTAACTTCCCTGCCAAGCACATTTTTGCCATAGGGCCTTTTCACATTCTGTTCCCTCTGCCTGGATACGTTTTCTCAGACTTCTCCATGGCTTGTTCCTTCACATCTTTCAGATTTCTGCTGTTTTTTGTATTCCGGGAGACTTCTTCCCAGCTTCCGAAGATTATCGGCTATAGGAGAACGAAAATTGCAGAAAATAACACTACAGTGATTGAAATTTCTTTCTGATGCACTTTTCTAACCTATAGGACAGTGATACATCTACACGAGTTATGTACTGGTTAAAAAGTGCTGAATGTTTATGGAGAAAAGCCAGGAAGGGATATTCCTTTAACAGGAACTTTTTAGAAATATACTGCAGTCATGCGCCAGGTAACTTTTCAGTCAATGAGGGACCACATATACCAAATGATGGTCCTGTAAGATTATAGTAGGCTGTACCATCTAGGTTTGTGTAAATACATTCTCTGAAGTTCCTGTAGCAATGAAACCACCTAAGGACATGTCTCAGGATTTATCCCCGCTAAGCTACGTGCAGCTGTGTTTTATAGAATGTTTTACTATGTAATCTGATCTTAACTGTATAATGGTGATAAGAATAAAATTGTTTTTCTTGGCTAATTAAAACAAAAAGAAGAACTGAAACCAGGGACTTGAACAGATATTTGTACCTAATGTTCATTGTAGTATTATTCATAATCACCAAAAAGTAAAAACAATCTAAGTATCCATCAACAGATGGCATCTTGGGAAAAAATGGGGAGATGACTCTGCCTCCCACAATTCCCACCAAAGAAGAGATCACAACTTCTTGGTTTAACACAAAGGCATCACACCCCACACTCACCCTTCTCTTTAGCTGTTGTTGGAAAATTTCATAGCCATCAACTGATTTAGACTGTGCTCCATGGGGCATTTGAGACACAGGATGTTCCCAAAGGGTCTGGTCGGATTGTACTCATGAAGATCTTCAATACTGAGAGTGGTACCCACACCTGGTATTACAGGCTAAGGGAGTTCTGTGAATTAAAAAAGTTATAAAGAACTTCAGACATCATTTAAATTGAAACTACACATTGCAAAAACCCTACTCCTGCTATTTTTCCTTCTTAATACACCAGTGTGGCCAATTGTCCTTCCTTTTAATTTCTAGATGTAAGAAAGATAGGTTTTCATCTGCCCTTAATAGAAATTGAATTAGAGATAGCTGCTACAACCTGAGACTATGAGACACGAGACTATGTTGGGATTTTTCTGTGTAGGCTTTCCCTCAGATGCATTAAATGTTAGCAGAGGAAGGTCAATAGAAAGACTAGCATTTTAACACTGATTCTAATACCTGTATTTTCCAAATCTGGACAATAAAGAGGATAATATCAACAAAGGAAGAAAGAGGCAGGATAGTTAGGCAACCCCAATCTATACTGTCATTCTACGTCACAAAACCTCACCTAGAAACTAGTTTTTGATAATATAAACAGAAGCTGGGATAGGGTAAGCAATAATGACTTCATCTCCGTAGACTGTGCAAATATTAATAGATAAAATGGTGGGATTAAAGGAATTAATTTAACTACAGACTCCTAAAGGGCTTCGGTATTCTATGTCTGTGTCATACATAGGGATGAGCTCTGACAAAAAAGGATCAGCACAAAGGGATGCCACCAAAGACAGGTATAAACCATTAAGTCGAAAGCCCTGTCTAGAAACCAAAACCAAGGATGAATCAACAGTTACCAAGGTGGGATGGATAACACTATTAATGAAGCAGTTTCTGTAGGTGGTCCTCAGAAAGACCCTCCTTTTAGGTTAGGAATGCAGGGGAAGGGAGCCTTTGATGAAGCAATAAATCTGGCACCTCTCCACAGAGAGAGAGCTATTGAGGATGGTGGGGATAGGTCACTTCAAAACTACATTTCCTGTGTAGTTGTCCAGGTTTTTGCTGATGAGAACCAGAAATCCTTTGGGCGTTAAAAAGCTTCAAAGCATTTTTTTTTTTGAGAGATTTTCACTGTAGGGCGCGTGCACTCGCCAGACAGACAGAGAGAGACATAGAGACAGAAAGCGAGAAATCAGCCCCCAGGGGGGATGGTCACGCCGCAATCCCTTCTCCTCCATTCTCCTCTCGGGATCCTGGGCACGCACGCACACGCGCCCGGCGTGAGTTTTAAGCCACCGGGTCCGGGACACGAACCGCGGTCGACTACGTGGGAGTCCAGCGACATAGCCATTACGCTAACTGCTGGTTCCCCAAAGCATTATTTTGATGTGAAAAGTTGAGCACAAGTTCTGTATGTCAGACTTAAATGAAAGCATTTATGTTCTCTTTCTCTGGAGTTAGTCTTTACCCTCATCCTCAGAGCTGCCCAGGTGCAAGGGGTTTTCAAAAAGTTCGTGGAGAATGTGTATTATAGAAAAACTATGTTAAGAATTTCACATTTTTATGCACCAAAATAAAATCATACCTTTTTTGTCATAAGGCACGTGCAGTTGCCAGAGAGAGACAGAGACAGAAAGTGAGAAATCATTTTCCAAGGGCCATGCCACAATCCCTTTTCCTCCATTTTTCTCTCAGGATTTTGGGCACATATGCACATGTGCCTGACATGATTTTCAGGCCATTGGATCTGGGTCTTGAACCATGGAATCGACCACGTGGATCTGTGTTGTAATCTCCAGGTAACCTGTTGGTCCCATACTTTGTTTTTCTTTAAATTATTCATTTTATTTTAATTTAGTAGTAGTAATAGTAGTAGTAGCAGTAGTATTCAATTTGCTATTGGGCACATGCACTCACTACAGAGTGACAGAGAGAGAGAAAGAGAGAATGTAAGCCACCAGGTCCAGGACTTGAACTGCAGTCAGCCATGTGAAGTCAAGTGCCTCAGCCACCATGACATCCTGTTGGCCCCCATACTTTGTTGTTTAATTGCCAAAGGGCACAGGTGCTCACCCCAGACAGAGACAGAGGAGAAAGCATCCCACAATGGGACGTGGTCATACCACAATCTGTTCTCCTTTATTTCTTCAACCTATTGGAATTCTGGGCACATACACCTGGTATGTTTTTCAAGCTTCATGGCCTGGACTTTAAACCACAGTCAGCCATGTAGAATATAGCTCTTTTAATCACTAGACTACAGGACCAACACAAACTAAACTCATAATGTAATTCCATTTTTCCATGAATTTCTTGAAGTCCCTTAATATGGCTTCATTCCTTACTTGAAGCTCTATTAGCTAAAACTTACAAACAGCTTATAGCACAGTCCTGTCTTCTTATATACAGTGATTCTACTCCATGAACATGTTGGAATTAAAGGATCTCTCAGTGTGAACACATTTTGTTGGTGTCCCCCTACAGACACACAGACACAGACAGTGCTCTTCACCATCGTTATGTTGTTTGTGTTTATCCCTCTGACTAGATTTCACTGAAGAACTAGGACAATGTTTTCACCAGTTTTAGCATGCAACTTTATTAGCAACATGTAAATAAAATCTCAGAAAAATACACTTATATCAATATAAAGTACAGATATATAATTTACTCAGAATGAATAGGTCCATAATCAGGTCACATTGTAGAAATAACAAAAATATATCAATTTATATTATATAGCACAATAAAAATCAACAAATGTCCAAGCTCTTAAGGTTGATACCTAAGAAATGTCCACCTTTGATCAACATAGACAGCAAAAGTATTAAATTTATAATTATATATATTGTTTTCATATTGTAACACAAAAAATTATTCACAATTTTGTGAGAATATACTGATATTCAGAGTTTGAGTACTAATCGTATAACTTTATCTCTCACCTCAGGAACACTGTGCTCTGCTAAATCTTGGAGTTTCTGACTAAATCCTTTTGCTTCCTGGAATATGGATATAAGTTCAGACTTAGTGAACTTGTCCTTGGTAAATAGCTTTGTCTTTTTTTTTAATTGGTAATTTATATTCTCAAATATTTCAATAATATTAAGAATATTGGCCTTTGACTCTTTCTTGTTAAAGGGTGCAACTAGTGATGACAGTACTTTAGCACTGATCAGTTCTCTTATATTGGCCTGATTTTTAGATAAGCACAAAAATACTTTTAAAACATAAAACTTGGTCTTGACACTTCCCTTTCTTAACAAGGTGAGAAAATCTGGAATGTAATTAACAATCATACGGTGATCCTCAAATTTCACACTTAGTTGTGCTAATAATTTTAGACCAGCCAGCTGCATAGGGGAGTTCAAGGGATAAGAGATTATGTCCTTGCATACCTGTTGTATGTTTGACTCTCCCAGTTTTGGTTCTTCAGAAGACTCAGAGCTATCATCTACCTTATTTAAAGTTCTAGGATGCTCTTTAACACTGGGATTATGGACCAAGTCTTCAATCATGACAGTAATACCTACATCATGAATTATATCTTGAGTAAATGGATAAGCAGGACTGATGCCCATTATCATTGTAGCTATTTCATGAATAAAAGGATCCTTAGTTAATTTAAGCAAGGCAACAAGTTTATCAAACTCCTTAGGCTCTAAACTAAAGCTACGTGATTTGCAGCGGCAGGTCCTTGGATTAGGCCCATACTTTTCTCTATGCCTAATCTGATTTTTTATCTCAGCTAAAGTCTGTAAGTAAGGCCCACCATAAGGTGGGATCCTGGTTAGAGGCCGAATTCCCAGAGGAGTTTCAATCAAGGTCTCAAACAGGGTCCAGTTCCCTTCTGGAGGCAAGGATTGCTCTCCTCCCTCAACTGGGACTAGGACACTATACCTGGCCCTTAACCATGCTGTAGCTTTTTGTTTTGTAGTACATGTGGGTATGGGTGTGGGTTTAAGCTTTTCCTGGACCTTAGGTGGGGGCTCATAAACTTTAGGAAGAGTATCTTCTTCAGGCCAGAACCAGGACCCTAGACTAGGCTCTTCTTCATTCCAGAACCAGGAACAGACATTTTCTTCATCCTGATCACTGGGCTTGATTCCAATATCAGCTTTATCCCCAGACCTAGACTTGAAGCTAGCTTCTTTGTTTATATCTTGGCTAGGCTTAATACAGGCTTTATCATCTGGCGTGGCACAGGACCTGATATTTTTCTTACTGCCAGCACCAACCTTGACTTCAGATTTGGTTATGGCACTGACCCTAGACACAGGCATGACCTTTGATTTGGTTTGGGGAACTATGCTGGGTTCTGCTAAGGGATTTGCCTTAGTCTCAGCTATCAATCTAGTCTCAGTCATATCTTCCATCTTGCTTATGTCCCTTGTCAAAGCCACAGCCTCAGTGTAAGTCACTGTCTGTGTCCTGGCCATCATGCCATCCTCAGACTTGTCCTGGGCCACTGATGGTGTTTTCAGTTCTGCCTCAGCCATTGCCTCAGCCTGGGTCTTTACCTTCACTCTAGCTTTAGAAGGACCACTGATTCCAGCTTGCAAGGCAGACCCAGCCTCTTCTCCAGCCCTTGCTCCAGCCCCAGAGCCAATCATGGTTCAAGATAAAGGCAAGGCCCAGTTATGTAGCCCTCCCCTATCTCAGCCTTGACTGAAGGTCTGTCCCAGGTTAGTGTTTTCATACAAAGTCCGTAGTCACACAGCCCCCTTTCCGACTACAGGCTCTGCCAATGATATAGACAACATGCAGAGGACGCT